TTGACTCTGTACCTAGATGTCTCTTGCTAAATAAGCTCTCGATGACACAAACTGAGTCCTGGGTCACAAACTGGTTGCATTCCAACTCCTCAAGCAGAATGCAGTACGCTGTAAACAAAGGTAAATCCTCCTCTGCTGTGCTCACTGAAGCTGGTGTCCCCCAAGGGGCTGTACTCTCCCCACTTCTCTTTTCTTTCTTTCTACATAACTTATCTTCTTCAAATGACATTAATTTTGTCATATGTGCTGACGACCTGGCTGTATCTTTGCCTGTCAAATGTCAAAGTGACTGCTCTAAACTAAATGGCTTTTTATAAGAAATCAGCCAATGGTTCAAGGAAAACGGTCTTACCTTAAATCCCTCTAAATGCGAAACGGTCAATTTCACCTTTAGGCACAAAACTGACCTAAACAAAATGGTTAGCGCTCACGAGGTGTGCAACATAGATAGCACTGAAATACAAACCAAGTCAAAAATTAGATATCTTGGCGTCATTCTATCTGCTGATCTTTCCTGGTCGTTTCATATCTTGATGATTTCTAATAAAATATTCCGTCTTGCCTTCTACATCAAGAAGTTAAGACATTCTGGTATAACCCAACCCTTACTCCTACAATCCGTTAACTCTCGCATTCTGCCTATTACTCTATTGTTAACCTTAGTTTTTCAAAGGGCTGGCTACTGAAGAAGGACTATACCTTATTACGCAGGATGTTAACGGTTGTCAGCAGGGTAAGCTACATGCCACTTAACCAGCTTGTTAATATTCTGGTCGACAGGCACTTGGACTCATGTGAAAAATGGGCCAAATCCTTTCTATCTAACTTACACCACCCTCTTCATTCACAACTCTCCCCTTGTATCTCATCAGGCAGAACCAGAAGCCTATATAGAAAAAAAATGCTCCCACTAGCAAGTACAAAAACTCAACCATACCTATCTTAACTCGTGTTCTGTGCGATAAAGAAAGCATTAGGTGTGAAACCTATAACTTAATAAATAGTCAGTAGAACAACTGGACCTGGTCTTTCCAACTCATATCATTTATAGGTACAACGTTTTTTTCTTTCTTCTCCTTTTCTCTCTCTCTTTGTTGTTATGTGCTGTTTTGTTTCTTCATCCTTAAAAACTTCTTCGTTCTTTCATACTCTGTATGTCTCGACCTCTTTGTTACCGCTTACGCCAGTAAATATGCTAGCATCTACTTTTCTAACACCTTCAAACACTGTTCAATTTCGGCTTTGCTACAGACATGCTTATAAGTTGTTGTCAAAACTAACCGAGAATACCCTTAATCTATGTAGAATTTTATTTATTGTTACTGTACTAACTGGATGCAATACTGTAGTAAAATGCTGAGAATTTCATTCTGTATCACAAGTATTGTTTGGGAATAAATCAAATCATTATTATCATTACATTTAAGTGCCCTGTTACTCGTGGCACTTCCCACCTTTAGGTTAATATATGCAAATGCCAACCACTATCGATGGTGGAAATCTAAAGACAGTTGTCTCTCTCACTTATCTAGTCAGAGCCATTTTAGTTAAAGTGTCGAAACCAGCGACTATCGTAATAAGAAATCGAAAGAGGCGTTTATTACTCTTAAATCACGTTGGAGGTCTATAACAATCAGTATAAGGAATAATATCCGAATTCCTAACACTAATTTCATGTCAGGGTTTGTTTAAATTTCAGACATTTGGTTTCTCATAGTGAACATTTCCAGAAACCTGCTAACTTTCATTAACAGCTGCTTTTACTAGATACTGAAAATCAGGTGGCCAGGCAGAATAGACAAGTAACAATTAATTTTACCAGACAACGAAACAGTAAAGAAGCTATTTCCAAGCAACTATGCATAAAGAAATGGAGTTGGATTGGACATAATTTGGACAGAGAGTTAAGGAACATTACAAGTTAGACCACCGAGTGTAGCCCGAATGGGGAGCAGCGGGTTAAATGTTTTATTGTGACACAGAGGAGATCATGTGAAGAGGAAATTAGAGATTATGGGCCTTTGTGGAACCAATTTGACTGATTATCTTTTAATCACTATTTCCTGAGGTTCCGAGTGGAACATTTGGCTTCAACAACACGTACCCACTTTGTTCTATAGCAGTTTGATTAATTTTGTGGGGTAGGGTCACTAGCTTCACGCCAAGCACCCCGTCTTTACCAAGACTTGGGGTCAGATGGAAAACTAGTGAGCCAGTATACTATGCGACGATGATTATCTATTAATGCTTCTTGTTTATGCTGTAACACGGGATATTTTTCGTCCCTAAAGTCTATATAGAACTTAGCAATCTATGTAGTCCAGGCAAACCACTCGACGAAATGTGGGCGGATTTATAAATAAAAGTAGAAGTTCAAGTTTGGGAAGTGAGGCTAGACCTACAGCCACACTGAACCTCCTCGACATCCAGCACACACCCGAATGGGATATAGACACTGGTCCGCCGTCTGTAAGTGAGGTCACAAAAGCTATCAGTAACTTGAAACGAGGCAAAGCGGCAGGACCCGACGGAATTATTCCGGAGGTGTTTAAATATGGGGGTGACATACTAGTTTGTAGATTAACTGAGATACTAGGCAAAGTCTGGGAATCAGAGACAGTTCCATCAGACTGGGGTAAGTCACTTATTATACCGATATTCAAGAAGGGAAACAAGTCCTCGTGTGATAATCATAGGGGGATCAGCCTAACGAACATAGTCTCTAAAATCCTAGGCTCAGTAATCATGCATAGACTAAGCAGAACTCGGGAGGAACAGACAAGGGAAAATCAAGCAGGCTTTAGACCAGGTAGAGGGTGCATAGATCATATCTTCACTCTTCGACAGATTCTAGAACATAGACACACTTTTCGGCGTCCAACAATTGTCATATTTCTTGACTTGAAGGCGGCCTTCGACTCCGTGGATCGAAAGGTACTATGGCAATGTCTGACTGTGAAGGGAGTGCCAAGAAAGTACATTGCACTAATCAAGGCACTCTATTCAAACTCACGTAGTCGTGTAAGGGCTTATGGGGAATTGTCATCTGAATTGGTAACAACCAGTGGTGTCCGACAGGGATGTCCACTTTCCCCATTTCTGTTTAACTTCATCATAGATATGCTGATGGAAGTATCCTTAACTGAACGTAGTGACTTAGGAATCGACTTGTTACCAGGGAATAGTCTTATGGACTTAGAATATGCAGATGACATAGTCCTGTTAGGGGAGGATGCTGACAAAATGCAGAGTCTTCTGAACACCTTGAGCAGCAATCTTCGTATGTTTGGCATGCGATTCGCCCCTACAAAATGTAAGATGCTGCTACAGGACTGGACCACGTCAACTCCTAACTTAGTGATAGGGAGTGAAGTGATAGAACATGTTGACCACTTCACCTATTTGGGAAGTTGTATTAGCACCAACGGACTGATTGGCGATGAAATCTCAGCACGGATCCGAAAAGCTCGAGCTGCTTTCGCTGACTTACACCATCTCTGGCGTAGGCGTGACATCCGGTTATCAACCAAGGGACGTGTGTACTGCTCAGCAGTTCGCTCCGTCCTTCTCTATGGCTCTGAAACATGGCCAATACGCGTTGAAGACATGAAAAGGTTGACTGCTTTCGATCATAGATGTCTGCGATCTCTGTCTCACGTTAGGTGGTTTAATAAGGTAAGTAATGTTGACGTTAGGCGTAGAGTGTTGGGCAAAGAGGGAAAATCAATCGACGAGGCTATAAAGTTACATAGACTAAGATGGCTAGGTCACGTGCTGCGCATGCCTAACCACCGCCTCCCCCGACGGGCATTGCTAGCTGATATAGGTGCAGGTTGGAAAAGAGCCAGTGGTGGCCAAACAAAAACATGGCCTCATCAATCCATGAAATCCTTGACAGTTAAACTGAGTCAGGTAGGGAGATGCAGACTCCCGGGTTGGGGCCTCGGGACTCTAGGAATCAATGGCTGGAGACAATAGGTGACATGGCTCAAAATCGTTGTCAATGGCGCAGATGTATTCAGTCTCTGTAATCTTTCATATTCCTTTCTACCATTACCCATTCTGTTTCACTCTTATACTTGTCAAACTCTATTGATTCTCTTCACTCATCTTCTTGTCTACCTCTGTGTGCTATTTGGAACGTGGCAACTCGAACTGCTGCACTTCGGTGCCAAGTTCTGTGTTGAATCCAGACAGACAGACAAGTGAGGCTAGAACACCATCTTCGACTTAATTGTATAGGAGTTATCATGCATGTCACACAACAAACACAAACGCATATTAGAAAGTAATTAGTGGAATGTAATAAGTAAAACTGATATACGATAACTTCCCCTCATCAAAGAAGTCAGTTTTCACAATTCTTTGTGTACTAGAGAATTTTAGATATTTTGGTTAAAGGCTCCACAATGATTTACCTAACAAACTGTTTAAACTTGTATATATAACTCTTCGCTGTAGATTATATAAATACCTTTCACTTACTCTGGTGTTCTTATTTCTGTAGGTACATCTCGTTCAAAAAGTATGTCAGCTCTAACTAATAAACATAATTTTCCATCTATGAATCTAAAGATTTCTAAACCACTTCACACTTACTTTTCATAGTTTTCTGCAATTATCTCTCAGCTCTTTCCTGCAAATGTTATTCTTTTGCCTTAAATCCTTCGCTAAACTATTAGTTTTTATTACATATTATTTAACTATGGTAGTTTCCCTTCGAAAAAGTCAGAATTTGAAGGAATTGAATAACTTGGTAGGGCTGACACTGAATTGAATTAACTCACTTTCTATTACTACGATTTTTAGTCTTTGTAGACTGAACATAAATTTTCTAAGAGTTTAATGAATAACCAAGGTGATTCTCTTGTAGTTGTACCATAATTATTTGACAATTTGTCTATTCTTGATTCTAGATTACTTCATTCCTTGGTTCAAGTGTCCAAAATACATAGCAAATTGTATTTTAGAAGAGTCAACTTTAAGAGAAAAATCAGACTATGGAAAGGTCTACAGCTGTTGTACTGAGTATTATTCTCTGCGATGCAGTAAAGGAATTCAAGATTTTAGCTGGTATTGTTGATATTATGCGTAAAAAGGTTCGACTGTTAAAATCAACTACAAAAATATTTAAGTTTTGCAGAAATGGAAAACTAATGTAGAACATTCAGAAGCTGAAGAATTTGTTATTTCACAAATGAATAAAATTCTGAAGAAATATTCCTATAAATACAGTACTCTGAAATTTATCATCGAAATTTAGATGTCAGTTTAAAGGATATACAAGTTGATGTTCTCAAAGAAATACAGAAAAGCTCTGGAACAACTGGATATCCATCAACTGCAACGATTATTGAAGACTCATTTTCATCGATAAAATACACAGAAAAGTTATTAAAAGAAATGTAAGAAAGCTTAAATTCTCTAATAATTAGTTTTTATCTAATTGATGTTCTCGAGAAATTAGGTCAGGAAATAAAAGACACAGGAAAATGCGAAACATTACAACAGTCATTGGACAAAGAAGAGTCAGAATTCAAAGAAATAGAACGTATACTAGCAAGGTAAGGTATTAGCTTTTTATTAATTCCTTAATTTTTACTGTTAGCCAGGTCAACTTGTAAAACGAGTTGTTGTCAATATTCATTATGGCGTTTGTTAAGATTTGAAGACTGTTAAGTCATAGTTTATAACTATAGTAGTATGCTCCAACGACTTCGTAGGAGATCAAAGATGAAATTGCTATACGGTTAGGCTATCATTCCACCTATGGGTTAGAATATAATGGTCCAAGAATTTTAGCATTCGAATAGCGCACAAACTAAGTGGAATCAACTCTTCAATGTTTATTAGCATCTAGTGGATTTTTAAGTGGTGTTTATTCTTGAAATTACCAATACCATTAGCATAGATAGCTCTTGTCATTCATTGTTTATTTTTTCCTGGCTTACTTTATTGGTTTTTGTTGACATTATTTCTATCAGTTTTAACTAGTTAATTTAACTGTGTGAAAACTGAAAACACACTAAAAGTACTAGTTGTCATTCTGCATATTCACTTTGGTCTTAGGAATTGCGTTTCTTGAAATTATTAACCAAGTAATGCGAGATGGAAACATTTTCAAAGAAACTAGAGACTTATTCCCTAAAGCACATAGTTTAACACACTTAGTATAAGCAATTCATGTTCTGTTGCGTAGCTGGGTCACAGTTTTTGGCCTTTCTTATGACACATTTGGTTTTATTCCGCAGAAACTGGGACCAAGATATATATACAGGTCTTATCAGGGTTCATTTTCAATATTATCAGACTTTTAGCTCAATAGACATTCATGATTAAACTTGAAGTGATTCACTAGGGAAAATATTTATAGACCAAAAGCATCCTACTTCGAGACTCTTCCACGGTACACACTGCTCACCTCACGAGGGATGGAACCTAGGACCTTCAATTTACTAAGAGAGCCCATTGAAAATCCAGCCACAATGAATACGGCTCATGTAGTGCGTTCTACTGGGAATTAAACGCAGAGCCCTTATGGACATATGTTGCCAAATAGTATTTAATTATGACGAAACATCTTTCCAGTACTTCCTGGTTTTCAAGAGTTCTGTGACTGATGTAAGCTTGTGATTATATTTGAAAGCAGTCGAATTCCCGCAAAAAAGCACTTAAAACAAAAGATCTATCTTAGCATCAAATGTGCTGAACTCTCTATCCTTTGAATTTTATTTCCTATCTGTTACAATAAGAATCAAGGTTAAATAGACGCCTTAATTACCATAACTTTTATTTTTTAAAAAAAGGTTCACAATATAACTGGTGGTGAAGGCGTCAGCTGAAACTCTTCTATAAGCACTATGAACGTGAAACAGATTTCCAAATCAACATCTATTTTTGCAAGCCGTTAATATCTTCTATTAAAGATTTAAAAACAATCATAAATACTTTGTGTTGTGTATAAATATCTTTTAATACTTATCAGTTCTTCTAGACTGGATTAAAGCAGAATTGTAATATTTAGTGATGACAATTTGAAAGCATTCAGTTTTAACTGGACTGATACAAAATACAGGTGTTTTTAATTAAGTTTTTTTTTTACATTAAAGAGAACAAAAAGCGCGTGAGAAAATCAAAGAAATAAAGAAGAAAATTGAAGAAAAAAATGAAGAAGGCATAAAGATAATTGAACAAGGCAAAGAATCTATTGCACATTTAAAAGATCAAGTTCAAGTAAGTTTTATCAGCGTTTATTATGATTATTATTATCTCCTTTAATTCCTAGAGAAACATAGGGCTTCAGCCGCACGTCTCCATTGCGTTCGGTTCTCTGTCAACGTCTTCACCTGGCTCCACGCGTCTTCCCACATACTTTCATCTCCTTTTTACATCACCTCCTCAATGTCACTCTCGAACTGACGACCAACTCGCCGCTTGCCGTTCGGGTTCCACTCGAGGGCTTGCCTTGTGGTGTCACTTGATGATTTTCTCATAGTATGGCCAATCCACCTCCATTTCTTCCTACTCATTTGTTGCACAATCGATCCCAGGTTGGTTGGCTCCTAGAGAACCCTGCAGCTGGTCTTTTCTGGCCATCTTATCTTGAGTATTGAGCGAAAGCAGCTGTTGATGAAGGTCTGCAGTTTGTTCGAAGTGCTTTTCATGTCATGCTAAGTCTCTGATACATATAGTAGCACTGACTTCACATTGGAGTTGAAAACCCGGATGTTATTTTTGATGGTGAGTGCTGTTGACCTCCACGCAGACTTCAGAGTAATGAAAGCTTGTCTTGCTTTGATATCCTCGTCAGTTCCGCCTGTAGTTGAAACGATGCTTTCCAGGTAGCTAATGGAGTTGCTTGTTTCAGATTTCTCTCATTTGTACTGATTGTCGTCTGTTGTTGTGGCTGTTGATATTGACCAGGAATCTTCATCATCTCTGCTTTTTCAATGTTTAACTGAAGTACTATCTGTGATGCTTCTTCTGCCAACTTGTTGCTTTGCACTTGCATTTTTTCCATTTTGTGGGAAATCAGACATATATCGTCTGAGAAATCAAGATCCTCCAAGTTTTTTGTGTGGATCCATTTTATGCCTGTCTCCTCGTTGCCCGTTTTCTGTCTATCGCATTATCCAGTCTACTGCGATCAGGAAAATCATTGGAGATAGTAGGCAGCCTTGTATTACTCCCGTCTTCACTCTGTGAGTTTCCCGTCGTGGATTATTTGGCGTGCAACATAATTGTGCAGCTGTTCATAGAGGTGTATAATTGTTGATGGCACCCCGTAATAGTTAGTATTATTATTATTATTTTTACCCTATATTTATATTTGACTAGGAAAACTAGTCACAGATGATATTATTCTTAGTTAAAAGTAAGATACACTTCTGATATAAACTACTTAAATCGTTGAAAGCTATCGGTTAGAAAATTTATTATAAAATAATGGGTCCTGCTTTTTAAACAACATCAAACTACAGATTACAAACTGACTAATTTAGAGGTATTTTCAAAACATTTTATGCAGAATAAAATACACACTTTTAGACAATTTCATTCAACTGATCAGTGTACCGATCAATTCTATATCTGCTTCATTTAGACGTTTCTGCAAGATTTTGAATGGATTGTTCAGTTGTAAGTTTCTTCGTTGGTGTTAAGTTGTACTTTAAGGTGTGAATTGTTTCCTTTCTCCTTCTTCTCCTTATGAGACTTGATTCGAAGAATACTCTCGTATAACAACTTTAAAGAAAATTTCAATTTGTAAATTATCATAATACCTCAGCAAGTATAATGTAATACTGTTTTATAGCTACGGGTAGTCTAAAGTGTGTTATGCTGAATGATTAAGGCAGCTTCAATTTATTTTCTGAAACAGTTAACATTGGTTAACAAATAGATATTTGTAACTCAAGAATATGGAAATCGAACTCTGACTTGAATAAATCAATCACAAACGTTTGACTTTAACACCAGAACTTGAAGGCTTACAAAATTATGAACCAGCAGGCTAGTCAATTTATTTTAAAGCAGTCGTAACATAATAACATGTCAATAGTAGTTCGGTTGAAAAAATTGCTTTTGTGGATAAAGTTGGACTAACTTTCAATAAAAGATAGGTGAGAGGTGTAATGAATTTTAAAACGGTTAATGAGAAGCTTAATAATACAAAAAGTGATGTGTGTCTGTTTCAAATAAACACCACTACCTTTTGATTTAATCAGTTGTCATAGTGAGATTTCATTGATTATTATTTAAAATGTTAAGTCAAACATACCAAAAAATTCATGTCATTGAAATGTTTTATTTAAAAACAAAATATTTCACAAGGAAATGAAAGCTAAAATAATTATGGAAGAAAAATATATAACACGTTACTCCACTGTAAAATTAGAAGAATTTCAAAGTCAATGTGATGAAAAAGAAAATGAAATAAAACATCAAATTGAAATTATTCAAACTAATCACAGTAAAGAAGAAAGAGTTCATGCTGAGGTCACTTCGTATTTAAATGAACGTATATCTTATTTAAAGAATGTAAGTTCTAAACTGTATTTATCTTCATATATATATATATATATATATATATATATATATATATATATATATATATATATATATATATATATATGTTTAAGTCCTCTATGAACGAATATCATCCTGAGGCTCTTATGAACTTATCTACTAATGACAATGAAAAATTGAAACCAAATTTTAGATTTTTGCTTAACAGCTTCTAAATATAATAGTCTGTCGGTGGCTTAGTAGAAGAATGAGCGTCTGAGTGAAATTTCCAGTCAACGCACTCCTAAACCTCACCTAGTTTACTGGCTGATTATAAGTCTAGAAAAGAAGGAAGACCAGTCGTAAGGCTAGCTCTCTCTCTCTCTCTCTCACACACTCCATAATAAGCAACAACACTGCTATTGAAAATTCGAAACTTGAAGCCTTATATTGCATTCAGAACGTCGGGAATGGGAAAAAGAGTTATCCGTGGAAAAAGAAGCAAAGTTGGATGTAATTTATTGTAATTTGGTATATATATATATATATATATATAATCGCTGGACAGAGAATTAGGCCATTTCACTTCCGTATCCCACTTCTCATGCCTGCCTGCGGTAAACAGTAGTGTGGAGTGTGCTACTGTCCAGATTTACCGGTAGTATGTAAAAAGGGGTTCAACGGCACAAAATGTCAAGTAGCGGAGAGAAGATTTGATGTCAAAGAGAGCAGATGAAACCAGAGTTGTGGAAAACCGTGGGAGACACGAAGAAATAAAATACGAAGGGTTGAAGTAGCACACAACAGAGGAGATCTGTGCAAATGACGATTTTCAGATAAGATGCACATAAATTAGCTATATAGAGACAGCAAATTCCAAATCAACAATCCGCAACCAAGTCTCTTGTCTTCTACCGTTACATCAGCTTTCCGATTATTAAACTTTACAAGCCTTCATTGTAGCTAAAATAATTCCAACACTGACATGTAGATGGAAAATGTTTACTTCTGTAAATCAATCAATCATCTGATTAATGGAAGAAAGAAGCAAATGTCTTTAAAGAGAATTATAGTCCAAACACTTCGTAAACTCAGGTGTCAGACTACCAACCCTTTTTATGCAAAAAAATATTATTGACATAAATCACAATACTGATATCAAGATTGCTTTCTTCTAAAAACCGTTAGGTTTGCATAGAGAAGCATACTTAGGCAATTACCTTTCGTAAGATTAAGCCCCATTGTTTGTTTAAGTGAGTGTGTGATCGGATTATTCGAAATTTGTTACGCGTTGATGGTTCAGGTGTAGAATGACTGTCAACCAAACAGTACTTCGTCCGGGTTCGATCCCCGCCGACGCACACCCGAAACACCGCCAGGCCGGCCGTAAGCCCGGTAAAGAGAAAAGTTTGGGCGCGGGGCTGGCAAAAACAATAACATAGCCTGTGACATTGGCTGGCAGTCGCACTAAATATAAATCACGGATCAACAGAAGTTGGAATTCACGGGCCGTTGGGTTAGTTCTCTGTGGCATAATGGTCCATGAGCTCACCTCGCAACCGAAAGGTCCAGGGTTAGGACCCTAATGGATGCGTACTGACGAAGGGTCCCAAACTAGAACGAAATCGCTATTCAGTACTCTAAGGCTTTTGAGTCGTTCTCCAACTGATGCCAGCTTGTGGTCAGTCCTTTAAATAACACTGTCCGAAATAACAGCTGGGGGTAACTATAAAGGTAAATAACCTGAAGATTTTCTTTAAAGAACGAGAATTTTTGAAAACTGTATTAAAAGATCCCATCTTTAACTACTGATTCAAACTGTTTCTGTCTACTGCCTGGGAAAACTGTGATCATAACTGTGATCACCTTATTCACCTGACAAGACTAAATTTTTAAATTCATTATAAGAAATCAACATTATTCAGTGAAACAGTTCACATCGTACCGAACCAAAGTCTTTTTTCATTTTTATCTTATTCATAACATTTTAGTATAATTTTTAAGTACTTCTGTTCTTTATTTAGCATGAAGTATTTTGGCAAGAGAAAGTTGAAAAAAATATTGGACAACTAAAACAAGAGTTGTATCGACTTAAAGACAGTAAAGAAAAAAATCTGAATAAACTGAATGAATTATCTGTATTGGTAAGTTTCCCCGTGATGAGTGCTGAGGGAAAATAAAAGTCACTTTTCAGTAGGAAATTTTCTCAATCGACAAAGTCATCTTCACAAACTGTACAATTGCATTTACATTTACTAAAAAAGTGTAACATTTTATTATTGAACAATAGAGATGTGTGAAACAAGTGATACAATTACTCTGGAGTAGTTGCTGACAATAGAAAGGGATTATGTAATAATTAACGATACAACAGTGGTCAGGGTTTAAAATTTAACAAAATAAAAATTATTATTGAATGAGCAGCAGTGTGACTGAGTGTCCACGAACAAGTGTGAAGGTGAGAGAAAATATAGCCGGCAACATGTGTAGACAGAGATTTTCTTCAAGAATTTTAATTTGTCGTTAATTCGTGAAGCTTTTGAAATTATGTATCATTGTTGACCATTCTACTGAAGATATGGATGCTAGATCAATACATGAGTGTGGAATTAGAGTAAGAATCAGCAGTGAATCAGAATATCTTAGCGAGCAGAAAAAAGATTATTGGTGTGCTTTTCGGAAGTTCGAAGTCCATAGCTGTGACTATTGATGCTTTTAAAATAATTTCTGGAAATGTTAGTCAGCAGGATGAATTAAAATTAGACATATTTAATAATATTATATTTTCGAATAAGGAAATCTGTTATTATTCTGGTTGATGGTGACTAGAAGTGTAACACAGAAGGGATATTTCTCCCCATTCGGGACTCGTCAGCCGTATGTAACTGTATACCCAGTGAGTGTTTGAGTCTGGGTGGTAATACCATAACTCACTGGAAGTGCAAGTAAATCCAAATGATGAGTTCCTAATACAACTAATTACACATCCTGGTTTTCACCACTAGTCACTGTCAATCAAAATAACATCATGCTAGTCTTCATATATCATTGAAGTATCCGTAGTGGGAGTTGACACGTAGACAGACATTGAGCATTTTGGTCCAACGTGATCAGTTAACAGGAAATGCAAATCCAATTAAACAAAAAATAATCTTTTTTTTTATGAAAAGTAAATGAGCGTAAGAATAAAGCGATGACATGACATGGGACACAAAAAGACTGCCTAGTGAATCATACAAAATGCACACATTCATGAGACTGTAATAATAATAATTTTTCCTTCACGTTCCCAGTGGAACATAGGGCACCGTCAAGCTAGTGGCTTGAAGTTTCTGTAGCAGTGTTTATTTTTTACAGGATGGGGTTGCTAGCCTCATGCCGAACCTTTCCTCTTTACCAGCATTGTTTCTGGCTTAGCGAGGTAAAGGAGTGCGTCGGCCGGAAATCGAACCCAGGACCATGTGCATGGTCGACGGGCGTCCTAACCGCTATACCACCGACGCACATGAGACTGTAATAGACCAACATATTTTCCATCTGTCTTTAATCAACTTACTATCTGTGGTCACAAAATAACCCTGTTTTGAAATTTAATGCACATACCAAAAAATATGTTGCTTTTGTCGATAAACAATCGAATGTTATAGGATAAATATTTACTGTATGTTTAGAAATTTAACTTTCAGTAGAAGTTCATTAGTCTTCTGATTCCCCCCTAATTCTTTAACTTATTCAATTTTCTTTTATTGTGTTAGTAAATCAATATCATTTCATGCTACATGATTCAAAATCGTTTGTTACAAAGTGGATTTATTCGCTTTTTACATCATCTTCGAGATAATAAGAATCTTCCCCCAATGAATGGCATAATTTTCTCTCCAGACACACTCATGCTTATCTACTGAATTATCACTATCCTTCTGTTCTTTCATAATTGATGTCGTTTTTTGAAGTGTGGCATCTTCATCTGAGACAATTCTTCGCCTAAGACCTAAGATTATTTGTCAACCAGTCAGTCATATAACTAAACTACAACAAAGTATGCATAATGATGTCTTAGGTGTTTTTTGTTTATAAATGAGTTTGATTGCAATCCGTTAAAGATAAATGAGAGTACATCATTTTTAAATTGCGTACTTTGAACAATCAACGAGGTCTTATTGCATTCTGATTTGCTTTAAACTTCAACTAGGATTTATCCATTGATTGCGCAAAATTCATCTTCTCAGAGAAGCGATACTTTGTCCCACTCGAAATAGTGTGCTTTTTATGGTTGAGTTTCATCCATTCCTTCCTTCCTTTTCTTACTTGCCTTATTCTCAAAGTAAATTCTCTTACTCTACGCTTTAATTTCCACAAATGCTTTACTTCGTACTGTAGTAATTATTAAAACTTGAGTGACTTCCTCAGTTCTCATCTTTTACTGTCAATCAGCTGTTGGATTTTACCAAAAAAGACACTATAATTGGATATGTTACATGTGCTGATTGAACCAAAGGTGTGTAGACTATCTAAAATGAAAAAAGACGATCATTTTCTAGAGACCTCATCCCGTAAAAATAAACACGACTGCCACCGAAAATTCAAGCCTCTAGCTTTAAACCCTATGTCCCACTGGGAACGTACAGGAATAAAATAAATAAATACGGGAAGAATGAACTAAGCAGGGAAATATGATGTCATATTATTTTACCAATTCTTGTCAAATGCGTAAGAATTAAAACAATTTATAAATCTATATTCTAAATCTTCACAAAGTTCAGTTAATTAGCCAGAAAAATAGGCGATTTGATATGAGAAAATAAAAGGGAAACAATTGCATATGCTAGTAAGTTAGGAGACATGAAATGCTATCGACAGAATGAACTCAGGCTGAAGTAAATAAAATTGAGATAAATTACATCTTATCTGGCGGGTAGACAAAATGGCGGTTGAATATAATTCTGTATTAGATAAGTTTACTGAATATAACACACACACACACACACAGTGATATACATAGTATTAATAAATAAATGACGTTTTGAGTACAATTTAATGCTGATAATTGTATTAGTATATTTAAACTACTTGCTAAATTACAATTTTCCGTAAATCCGGTATGAGTGTTGCATCATTTCTATTGCATGTGTTTGCTGTTCATTTGAGGAACAAAGATTCGGTAATTAACCTATCTATCTACTGAATTATATTGCTATCTTACGTTTAATTGGTATACACTAAATAACCAGTATGGCAGCTGTAAGTGACTTCTTTGATTGGTAGATTTCACTAACTAAAATATATATTTTATTGTTCCAAAACAAGAACAACAAACACTGTGGGATAAATTGAATTCAGTTTCATTTCCAGTATTCTTCATCTTCCACATACCAACTAAACTAAAAACTGGTGTACATTTTCATAATTCAAGATGCCCATGTCAAATGCGAATAATTTGATTGAGTTCATTTGTACAATCAATTCAAAATAAGTCCATCACTAGCATTCTAACACATACTAGAAATTCCTACAGCGTCATCGTATTCATCCAAATCACACCGCTCTTAAACCTCACACTCTTAACACGCCATACCAGTACACTTTATTGAAGCTAATAATAAACTATACGAAAAAATATACAGATTGAAGTAAAATACGTAGGAAATTGGTGCATTTGAATTTAAAATTTAAGGCTGACACTGCTTGTGAAGCCCATAAAACCGTTTAGCAAGACCATTAGGGAAAGTACTTTTGCAGCCACTCTACAAATAACTTAATCTGGCAGTCCATAGGTGTACCTTAATGTTAAGTAAGTGTTACGTCTATTAGTCATTTCCATGTACATTTAAATACCCACCTGATCTTGCTGAGGTACATATATAGAACGCTCGTCAAAGAATGTATTCTGTCGTGTTTGACAGCACCTCCCAACTTGACTGAGCCAGGAGAGCGCCGAGTCACTAATTCATGTCGATAATGACCACTTAGCTTCTGATATATCCTCTAACATCGTCTACAAAATTTGACAAAGTTTGAAGAAAGGAACACGAGTGCATTTGCTCGTTTATTCAGTAGTTAATTCTATTGGACAATTCATCAACCTTGAATCCAAACAGGCTACTTCCCAATCGTATCTGGTGGTCTCATATGTTTTTCTAATAGACTGAGGAATCTTCTTAATTCGTGATTTAGCGGACTCGGTCATCTACAGAAGTGTCGAATGAGTTCTACTGTAAAATGAATTTTACATTAACTCGTATCATTATCTTTGTGTTTATAAGTTTCCAGACCGTAGGTGTTAAGAACTTCCTGGAATAATTTGAGCGCCGAGTCAGATTAATTCATTATAATTTATTTAAATTAATCCAGCGTGTTTAAGAAATCTTGTTTTGATTTTCTTAAACACACTAGGATTATTTTAAACAAATTATAATGAATTATCTTTGTGTACCAAAAATTAATTTCATATACGAGGTTGCTTCAGTAAATACCTGATAAAGTGAAAGGACCGGTTTTGCAGTATAAAATGACATTATTTAATTTCACAGGTTCTCATCAGTTTCAAACGACTTGAAATTACAACGGTTATTAGAGAAAAACAACAGCTAAACTTCAGTGTTACAGTGACAGCAGAGAGAATTCTATAGATTAAAACATAAGAAAATCCGTAATACGGATGAAATATGTTGTCTTCATTCTTTTAAAACTGTTGTAATTCCAGGTATTATGAAACTCATAAGAACCTTTACGATAAAATGATATCACTTTTCCGCTTGATAATACTTTTGGATATTATTACATATCGGAACAGTCTTTCTTCCGCATATTTTCAGAGTTATCTGATAGTTTATATTATTTTAAATGATAGTGATCATTATTCAATATACGACATAAATATTTCACAAATGTTATCTAGTATAAGGAATACGAGGCTGTGATTCTTTCTGATCGTATTGAAAAAGAGAAGATTCGTCAACAAGAAGAACAAGTTGAATTAGAACTTCAAGCAGCTTGCAAAGTAAGCTAATTGATGCCATTTCTTTATTTTAACCAGTACTCTGAGTGATTGGTCAAGTGAGTGATGCCATAAAGAGTTTGTCGTATTCCATAACCTTTCAGTTATATTTTGATGATTCGATCCAAATTGTTATTATGAAGAATCTTGAGTATCTAAATAGCATAGCAGCGTAAGAGACAATTTTCAACTTTATAAACATTGAGAAATTCGGTTTGCAGTGGCAAATTGATAAAAATTAGAATTCATGCGCAAATGAATCTCAACCTGGTGTTGCCTAACTGTAAACAGGCTTTCATTGTAATCTGAAGCTTCGACTCCTGGTGTGGTCTTTAGTGTTCATTGATTGCATGAAAGAACCAAACTAGGACAGAACAGTTATTCAATACATTATGTTTCCCGTTGATACTCTAACTGATGCAGGTCCTCGACAGAATCTTCAATAGGGCTTGAAAATAGTTTACTTATGCAAACTGACAAGTACTAAAGGATCTGCCATTAATTACCGTTGAATACTAATTCGTTTTTGATTGTCACCTAGCACAGGTATTTGTCAGTTAACTTTATAAAACAATTCCCCATAGTTCTGTAGGTAACCAGTGTAACAACAGAAGACAAGGGCCAGGCAACAGATCGTTTTATTATGAAAATCAACACGTATTTATACATCTTTCAACTACATTATTATAGACAAGCGCAGTCATCTGATTGGTTGTTTAGGTAGACAAACGCAGGCTTCTGATTGGTTGTTTCGGGATTCCTTGACAAATAGAGTTCTCTCTGCGAATCATATTCTGCCACGTTAACTTTGCTGTGATTGGTTGTTGACTCAGGCTTGTTCATATTTTCTCACGGCCCATATTAGTGACCTAGACCTTAACGTAGATTAGTGCCAACCAATCGGCTAGCAGCCTGCTCTCACCACACTCGTCCCCCCGTCAAATACGTGCGACTGAAGTCGGCTTGATCTACTTGGTGCAGGCGTCATCGTTGGCTTGTCTCGCTGTATCCATTTCTGGAGCTCGCTGACGTTCACGCGCCTCTCATTGTTCGCCATTGCGACTGTGTCTGCGTAACCCCATCTCGAAGTGACCATATATGGTCCTTCCCACTTTGGAAACTGTTTGCCTGACCCTGTCGAACATTCGTCCATACTTCGGCCCACACCTTCATATGCTGCTTTCGCCCGACCTCCCAGCAGCGTCTCAAGTAGCAGCTCCATCGCTGACAGATTTTGAACGCCACTCAACTGCGCAGAAGCCTTGAAGTCCTGCCCGAAGATCCATATGTCTCCATCAAAAACTGCAGGGTATAGGCTTTTCATTTGTCGGTAGGCAGCGACACCAAATGTAACAACAGAAGACAAGGGCCAGGCAACAGATCGTTTTATTATGAAAATCAACACGTATTTATACATCTTTCAACTACATTATTATAGACAAGCGCAGTCATCTGATTGGTTGTTTAGGTAGACAAACGCAGGCTTCTGATTGGTTGTTTCGGGATTCCTTGACAAATAGAGTTCTCTCTGCGAATCATATTCTGCCACGTTAACTTTGCTGTGATTGGTTGTTGACTCAGGCTTGTTCATATTTTCTCACGGCCCATATTAGTGACCTAGACCTTAACGTAGATTAGTGCCAACCAATCGGCTAGCAGCCTGCTCTCACCACACTCGTCCCCCCGTCAAATACGTGCGACTGAAGTCGGCTTGATCTACTTGGTGCAGGCGTCATCGTTGGCTTGTCTCGCTGTATCCATTTCTGGAGCTCGCTGACGTTCACGCGCCTCTCATTGTTCGCCATTGCGACTGTGTCTGCGTAACCCCATCTCGAAGTGACCATATATGGTCCTTCCACTTTGGAAACTGTTTGCCTGACCCTGTCGAACATTCGTCCATACTTCGGCCACACCTTCATATGCTGCTTTCGCCCGACCTCCCAGCAGCGTCTCAAGTAGCAGCTCCATCGCTGACAGATTTTGAACGCCACTCAACTGCGCAGAAGCCTTGAAGTCCTGCCGAAGATCCATATGTCTCCATCAAAAACTGCAGGGTATAGGCTTTTCATTTGTCGGTAGGCAGCGACACCAAATGTAACAACAGAAGACAAGGGCCAGGCAACAGATCGTTTTATTATGAAAATCAACACGTATTTATACATCTTTCAACTACATTATTATAGACAAGCGCAGTCATCTGATTGGTTGTTTAGGTAGACAAACGCAGGCTTCTGATTGGTTGTTTCGGGATTCCTTGACAAATAGAGTTCTCTCTGCGAATCATATTCTGCCACGTTAACTTTGCTGTGATTGGTTGTTGACTCAGGCTTGTTCATATTTTCTCACGGCCCATATTAGTGACCTAGACCTTAACGTAGATTAGTGCCAACCAATCGGCTAGCAGCCTGCTCTCACCACACTCGTCCCCCGTCAAATACGTGCGACTGAAGTCGGCTTGATCTACTTGGTGCAGGCGTCATCGTTGGCTTGTCTCGCTGTATCCATTTCTGGAGCTCGCTGACGTTCACGCGCCTCTCATTGTTCGCCATTGCGACTGTGTCTGCGTAACCCCATCTCGAAGTGACCATATATGGTCCTTCCCACTTTGGAAACTGTTTGCCTGACCCTGTCGAACATTCGTCCATACTTCGGCCACACCTTCATATGCTGCTTTCGCCCGACCTCCCAGCAGCGTCTCAAGTAGCAGCTCCATCGCTGACAGATTTTGAACGCCACTCAACTGCGCAGAAGCCTTGAAGTCCTGCCCGAAGATCCATATGTCTCCATCAAAAACTGCAGGTATAGGCTTTTCATTTGTCGGTAGGCAGCGACACCAAATGTAACAACAGAAGACAAGGGCCAGGCAACAGATCGTTTTATTATGAAAATCAACACGTATTTATACATCTTTCAACTACATTATTATAGACAAGCGCAGTCATCTGATTGGTTGTTTAGGTAGACAAACGCAGGCTTCTGATTGGTTGTTTCGGGATTCCTTGACAAATAGAGTTCTCTCTGCGAATCATATTCTGCCACGTTAACTTTGCTGTGATTGGTTGTTGACTCAGGCTTGTTCATATTTTCTCACGGCCCATATTAGTGACCTAGACCTTAACGTAGATTAGTGCCAACCAATCGGCTAGCAGCCTGCTCTCACCACACCAGGACCAGACTGAAGAGTAGTCAGTTTTATTTAAGCACTTGTGACATATCTGTGTATGTAGTCATAACAACCGAAGAAATGTAAGACAATACGAAGTATCCTCTTTAGTGGATTATTACCAAGTTTAGCACACTTTTTCTACTAATTTAACGTTTTCTGTTCATTACCAGTCATTGGATAAGATATACTAATAAATCCATAATCATATCAAAATAGTAAATCACTTGTTTCATTCAATATTTTTAGTGCTGAAATAAGACTGTTATTTAGACGACTTTTTTTATTTTGTTTTCTGTTAAACTCAGATTCAAAATTGGTGGCGTACTGTGTGTGTTCAACACAGCCTTGGACCATATCGTAAAAAGAAGGGAAAAGGAAAAGGGAAAAAAGGAAAAAAAGGGAAAGGAAAAAAGAAGTAGGCATAAATAACTTGGCACTGAAACAGATCATGAACTTTCCTAAATCGAATGCTGTTTTCATCAAAATTATTTAATTCACTGCTGGGATTAAATGTTACATTTAACTTGTTGATAATTTGTTTGACATTACATTTATATACTACCGATCATCTTATTCGAATAGAGAACATTTTTAGAGTTTTTATAGAAAATATAAGAAATCACTCAATCACACAATTAAATGCAGTCTTTTGACATAAATTATTGGTAGCATATGTGTAGATAGATCAAAATTAATGCTAGTGGGTTCAACACACTCATACTTCAAAGAAGAGATTAGACATAAAAATTATAGTGAGAGGTATGATGCCTTAGAACTAATGGTAATTTTATGGAGTAAATTGGTGCGCAAGCTATTTTCCTACTCAGTTGCACTTATATAACATGATAGTAAGGGTAGTTGGCAGGCCAATTTCATTGTCAGTGTATATTTTGCGACCGATTTTCATCAAACCGAAATGCTGGCTTAGCCATCAAGAGAAGAGGTATGGTAATATGAACTTTGCGAAATAGAGTGGCGAATAGAGAGAGTACTTGATTGGCAGCTCTGTAGTTAACTATCCACTGAAATAAGGAAACTTTATACCTACACTACAACATTTGACAATAAAGACCGATTTGAAAGATCTGGTCACGTGTGCTAAAAACTAAAATAGTGAATTTCGAATGTAAGTAAAACACTGCTGAAGTTATTACAGAAAGCCAGCAACAGCTGAAGAAGTGTAGTTAACTCTATTTACATTTACGACATCTTAATTATATCTCTATATCAAATTAACGGCAACAATTCCCTTAAATGGCATTTGTGTCATATACAGACTATATTTAAAGTTAGACGGCTGAAAAATGATAAGGGAAAACGAGCCATTGTATCTTATTCAACTGACATAATTGCTGGAGACAAAAACTTCTCAAAATTCATCAATGTCTATAACGCATGAAAGCCCACTGAAAGTTCTTCGGTGTTCTGGTTGTTCCTTAGGTCTGTACGATTACACCATAATCACCACATCAATTTTAATTAGCTGCGTTATATGACTAGTGCTGTCGTACTTAGATCTTACCGACGAGCATTAATCTAATAGTGAGTATTTTTTCATGAAAAAGACTGTCATGGAATGAGAGAAGGAAACATCCACCAACGATAATTAGACAAAGCAAGTATGTCGTGAGTTGGTAATCTTTAAAGTGCAAGCTGCAAAAGGTTATCAGAAGATTCATCAGGCGGTACAACAGCTATGGACGATTTCGTGCTCTTCCTTGTATTTATGTCTGTCTATTAGCTGATTTTAGCCTTTTATGAATGTCAGTATTAGGTTAAAAAGTTGAAAATGACCAGTGTTAACTTAGAGTTATTATACTTCCATAGACCAATCAGAATTTGTTTGCTCAATAAAGCATGTAAATGTATAAATTTAGCTAGTGAAATTCTAGGCAATTAGGCGGATGAAGTAGTTTCAAAGTATGAATTTACCTGGTAGTGAAGTTTTACAGAATTGGTGGTGCAGGAATTCTAACTAAATTGCTTCCTGTGTGACACTATTCCAGTAATACCAATTAAATTGTGAAAGAAGGTCAAATACATGCTGAAAGCCTGATTGATTGTGTAATACACAGTTACAATCCAAATAAAGATATATAGGTACCAAACACAATGAACTTCCCAACATGTTTTTTTAGATACTCGTGACTTGTGTTGATTGTAAGACAGAACAAAACGAAATTATATGTACTTGAGGATGACATATTAAATCATTAAAGTATACACATTTTTTCACTTTAGTTAGTTTATAGAGGGTTTAAAGCATAGGAAATGAAAACGAATTAAATTCTTCTCAACGCATATGCTTTGGAAGATTAAATGCCACTAGTCAGTAAAATCTACCAATCACAGAAGTTACCCATATGTGCTCAGCTGTTATACTGGATATTTGGTATATTTACAACTTACTCATAATACTGTTATGCATTTAGGTGGACAGGCAGTTCATCTTAGTCCATTATATCGAAACCAAACACACGCATTATTAATAGTAATAAAATCAACTATATTCTGGGCAAAGTTTGTACACAATGTAAATTGTTCGAAACATAGTTTATTGCATACTATCCCACCTCGTCCAGGATAAAATGTTATGTAGCGTTATGGCTGCTTTGGTTGACCTTCATTGTGAAAACCAACCTCCTAAGACATTTTTCTTCCGTACTCGATAAATGAACAGAGGTAGAGGTGAGGATAAACGCTGTCGCACCTTAAGTTTACCTATCCTTCTTTGTCTTGTTGTTCGTTAGCTGGAACAGTGGCGATCAGTTGGATATTTGATTTTACGCAGGTCGTTAAAATTGTGTGTGTTGTAGTGTAGTTTTGTCATGAGTGCCTTAAGAATTGTTGTGATTTCACATGTAACATTTGATTATTCTAACCGTCTTTAGCCGTTTCTATTCAGCTACAAGGCTTTTTACATCGTCAACGGCGTTCTGATTAGTTGATGGTTGACGTGCTTGTCAGCGTCTATGAGCCCCCAAGACTCTGTTTAGTTCTTTAGTTTTGGTTATATATATATATATATATATGACAATTTATGCACCAATATTTCTCTGCTGTATAGTTCGGTATTCTGGCTTTCTGGCGAACTAACTGTTTCAAGTAGTAACGAAAGTGACTACTAACTAACGAAGCCTTTCTCAGAAGTTCCTTGCAGTGTGTATGATACCATAGCGGATATAGCTGAACTGGTTCGTCAGTTTAGGGTAAGAAAACGAATCCTCAGCTGGGAGGAAGTTGAGGATGCGATGGAAGACTTTTAAAAGATGGTGACTCTATAAACTACTAACAGTGTTGATCTTTTGCACACACTTAGTTCAGATTCAACGGCTAACGTTGCCGTGATTCGGCGACAAAATGAATGAAATGTATTATTGAATTCGTTGCAGTTAAAAGAAAGTAATGTAAAGTTGAACACCTTGTATCGCCTATCCCATCTGACAACGGTTCATTCTTCTTTCTCATACTGTGGTCACAACAGCACTTGTCTGTGGTTTTCTCTATCATATGTATGGCCTCTTCCTCACTTTTTGAAAATTCCAGTTTTTGAAGAACATATCCTTAACATCTTAAACATATCCTTAGTGGTTCAAACTCTGTTTATTAAAAGTCTAATTACCAACTAATAATGAGGGTGCGTAGTACAAAATATAATTTTTTCCACAAGTCTTTTTATACGTCATAAGTCGTGGCAAACATTTTTTTCAAGTGTAGCATTAAAGAAACGATGAATTCACGCTTTGATGTCATTCTGGATTTTTAAAAACATTTAACGCATCTAAAAGATATTGAAGATATTATGGAAACTGGAGTAACAAAATCTTTCCATCTGTTCAAAGTATTTTCTTTGATGAAGTTTCTTACCAACAATTCGTGGCATTCCCACTGTTTTGATAGGAAGCTTGATGTAGTGTTCATTTTCCCCTACTGTGTCTTCAGGGATAACAGCACGCAATAACTGCATATGCCTTAGCATTCTTACTTGAACTTCACATTCTTTCCAGAGAACTTATTTAATAATAAATGATTACGAAAATATGAGCAAGAAATGCAATCTTCACATGATTCCTAGAATCACATAATTCCAGGAAGAATTCCAAAATACTTTGGTGATCTCAAAAAACATTATTAGTACGATATATGTAACCAGTAGTAGTATGCTGTTTGACAGGAAAGCATTACAAATTGTCACTAGTGCTACATTTAAAAAGGCCATACCTGCTATATTTTGGCCCATATGCAAACGGCTATCGAGATCGGCTGGCAACATTGAATGCAGTAAGTAGTTGATGTCTTCGATTATTCCAAATAAGTGTGAATTCCAGTTGTATTATACCTATAATTGAGTTATTTTAACAATCAACTTTATCAAAGTGGAAACCCATTCGAACGTCGGGCCACCTTATTATCATCCACACATACTGCACCCAGTTAACAGTGTTTTAACTGTTTTTATCTATCATTTTGTGATGTCAACACGCATTACCCACTAACGAAAATTTATAAACTCTTGAAGACTGAATAACTTTCAGGTTTCTAACGAAAATCATAAATAGCACCAGTGTTTTGCAACGTTCATTAAAACGCGCATCTATGCACCATATTTATGTTCCTGTTATCTTTAGTACCAACTTCCTCTCTTTATCCAACGATATTATGTATTTGCAATCGCATTTATCTTCTAAAACGTATCATAATACGGCCATGATCACATTACAAGAAAATTGGCTTGATGAGCTTTCTGACAACAATCGTGTCTTGCTAAACGGTGTCACTCTATTCAGACAAAATTGGTTCCACTCCAAAAAGAAATGTGGCGTTGTTGTAGCAACTTTTATTCAGTCTCACTGGTCAATCTCAAGTGACGTCTGTTTTTTAAATTCTGGAGTGGCTTTATTGGTTATATTACTATCGAATTTCCTCCTAAACACTTATCAGAGTACAAAAAGTACTTCTTTCAAACATATAAGTTACCCCTGGCTGTTCTGTCTCAAATCTACCTTATTATGCAGATGAATTCTAACATGTGCCAGTTCACGACATAAGTTGACCACTTCGCAATGTCTTCTTCGATGAGTTACTGCCTCACCTTCAAGCTGCTGTACCCCGTTCTTCTCGGCTTCCAAACATAACTGCAGGTCACTCCCTGAATAGGGGCAGTCGCTAGTGACCATCAGATTGATTTTCAATTACTGGTTTTGTATATTTATTTCTATAAAGTGTAACTGGAATCCTTCTCCGATTAGGATTTTTCTTCAGATATTTAATTCCTCCACAGCACTTGGACTGAATATGGGTCTAAGACGACTGGTAAGTGACCATCTTAGATTTAATTTTCGACCAGCAGTTGGTCAGCTGTAAAGATTTGTTAGCTGAAAATTCCCTAACCTATTCAATAATAGTAGATTTTTACTGAAAAATGCAGAATTTTTAGGAGTTTCTTATTGCAGAATCTTCGACTTATATAATCAACAATAAGGTATCTACTGAAGGTTCACTGATCTGCCTAGTCTTTTAAAATGTTTCTCTCCCATTTCGATTCTAGTGTTTGAAGCAAGGGATTGACACTTACTTGAAAAAATGACTGAGCATACATTGAGATTCTTAGAGATAATTGTTTGGTTAGCAAAATATGGAGTACACATAATTAATTCAGGTGGATGTAAAATTTAGGCAGACCAGTGATTAACGCCTACCAACAAATATATGTACATTTATACTGACCTATTCGAACTCCCATCAATCTCATATGATATTGCCACATAAATAAGATGAATTTTCAGTTCATTTTCCATTCCTAGCGCTAAATTTATCCTTGGATTTTGTGAACTGTTTTTA